ATATATATATATATATATATATATATATATGTATTTACCAAATAAATGTGATTTGAAATTTAAATCCAAAAACTAAACCAAATCACATGATTTTAAAAATTAAAAATCTGAAGTGCTAATTTACAATTTTTTTTTATATCAATTATTTAAATCAACTTGCAGATTTTGATTTGAATTGATTGATTGGAACAGTCCTATTTTCCATATCTGTCTTTTGTGAAACTGCAAAGCATATTTCATACTCTTTTCAATATGTATAATCATGTATTTTTTTTTTCTTCCTTGCTATTATATTCTACTTTTTGTTTAACTCGTTACCAATTTCAAAATTTTGCAATTGCAAATAAGTTACGATTATATTCTACTTTGTGTGTGTTGAATTTCAGTTAGATTAAATTGAATTTTAAAATTAAATTCACTCAATCATATTAAATAATTATTTTTACTTAGAAATTTATATTAAAAAAATTAGTTCATGGATTAAAATTTATTTAAGAGTGTAAGTGAGTTGGCTTGGATTAAATTTAGATAAAATTATTATTTTATCTGATTAAAATTCAATGAATAAGATTGGGTTAGATCGAATTTATAATTTTTTTAAAATCTAACTTAACTCAATTCAATCATAAATGGGTTAGGTTGAGTTGAGTTAATCAAAATAATTAAATTTATTTATTTTTATACAAATTTAAATATTTCATGATAGATGTAAATCATTTGAGATATATTGGATTAAAATTTAAATGGATTTTTAAAGATTTTTTTTATAAAAATATTATATGATATTCAATTAAGTCTTTTTTTTAATATAAAAGAGTTATATGGTATTTAATTAAGACAATCAATATTTTTTTAAGAAAACCTATAAAAATCTTGTGATATTATTTTGAATACTGAATTTTATGATTTTTTAATATAATTTACATATAATTCACTCATCAAATAATAGCATAATAACTTTTAAGATTTTGCATGACTTTGTTTTTTCTTTTCCTTCTAGTATTTTTTTTTTCTTTCTCTTAAATTTTTTCTCATGCTTTTTTTTCTTTCTCATTTTTTTTCTCTCCTCCCTCACCATTCATGCTTCACTCTCTTATTTTCTCCTTTATCTTGTTTTATTCTTTTCTATTTATTCATTTATCTCTCCTTTTTTATCTCATATTCTTTTCTCTTTCTTCTTCTTTCTTGCATTTCTTGTTTCTCATTCTCTTTCTTCTCTATTTTTTCTATCTCTTTCTCTTTTTATTCATCTATCTCATTTATCTCTTATTTTTCTTCTCCTCTGCCTATTTTTTTTATCTATCAATTTATGTATAATTTATTAATATATATTTTTAATTATTAAATATTTAAAATATTTTTTATATTACTAAATATTATCTATTGTTAATTTTTTTAATTATTAAAACTTAACCATTTATTTTTAATAAAATTGAATATTAAAATAATTTTTTTAAACATATATTAAAAAGACTTTTCAAGTCACAACAATGATCTTCAAAATAAAAAATAAGTTTTCATTTTATATCATACATTCTTAAATTTAACATAACAAATTTTAAATTTAGGATCTTGTACATATTATTTCAATTTTATTACTAAGTAAATTTTAATACTTCAATAATTATAATCATTTTGAAACAAATATAAATGATGTTAATAAAAATAAAATAACACAAAACAAAAGCAATGGAAGAATCTCGCCAAAATATATTTTAGGGGAGGAATTCATAAACATAATAAATCTACAAGGCTCATGAGTCATGACTGTCAGTATCAGATAAAAATAATGTCTAGTGAGGCATCAAGATGGTGACACATATAACATGAAGCCATAGACAATGATAGCTCAACGACCAGAAATAGATATATAGAAGATAAATTAGGCATGGCAATCTAACCCGCCCCGTGGGTACCCGCCCCGATTTGGATGGGGAAAACCTGTGTTTATCGGGTTCGGGTTCGGGTTCGAAACTTCAATTCCATTGCAAAATCTCACACTTTTTCCAACTAATGAACAATATCATTTGGAAAATATGCCAAGAGAAGATGTTGAATATGACGAGAACGAGAATGATGAAGACTACTATATTTCTATTTTGTTTCAAAGTGGAGACGAATCAAGTGAAAATCATATAGATGATTGTATATCATTTGATGACGGTGTTTTTGAACCAATTTTTGTGGTTCATTTTGAGGAAGGTAATATTTTAAATAAAAGTTGTAATCGTTATTAATTTTTTTAAAAAATTTATTGTCCTCATTATAAAAA